TCTCACATGTGGCCTACCAGCTGTTCTCCTCTTGATTTGAAGCTGCTAGAAATTTATGCGTATAAAAATACGTCAGAAACATTGGCTCGTAAGACGTATTTTATAACGTCGGAAACAGTCAAAGGTTAAATATAGTGATGGAAGAGGAGGGTGTGGTGTGGAGTGATGGAAGAGGTACTGACAGGGGGTTAATGAGGGAGAGTGGAAGTGAGGAGGGAGACCATACATGTAACCAAATGCAGACAGTGGAAGAAGGTGACAACGAGTGTTAATTTAAAATCACAATTCATTACCAATCTATCTGCCTGCCCTCCCGCCCACCCTATCCTGGCCACTTTGCCTGCTAATAACTGACTGTTTATGATAGACATAAAAAAAATAAAGTGGTGCAGGATTCTGTACTAAACAAACTGAATAACAAACACCCTTAACCAAAAACAGTAAAAAAATAATGTATACAGTGGAATCCTCAGCTAACGCTTGTTAATCCGTTCGAGAGAGCTAGCCTTATAGCCGATTTAAGCCTTTAGCCAAATTAATTTTCCCCATAGAAATAATGGAAATCCAATTAATCCGTTACCAGACACCCTAAAGTATTAAACAAAGTAATTTTTTTTTTCATGAAATATACATATCCCTACTCAGAAAACAATGATACATGCAAGAATAAACAATATGAAATGACACTTACCTTTATTGTGAGAATGTATGATGAGTGATGAACCGGGAGGATGGGAGAGGATGAAGGTGTACTAGTGTTTGAAGGAGAAGCCCCATAAAGGACTTCAGGTAAACAAGTCCTTTTCTGGTTTACTCCCTTCATGTTTTTTTTTTAATGGCCACTTGTGACCACTGGACCACACCCGCTAACCACCATTCACAACCACTAACCACCCTCTACCACCATCACAACCACTACCACCCTCTAAGCCACACATCACAACCACCCTCTACCACCATCACAACCACCTCTACTACCATCACTACCACCTTCTTAACCCCCATCACGAGCCACCTCTACTACCATCTCTACCACCCACTACTACCATCACTACCCCCTCTCCACTATCACAAGCTACTACCACCCTCTTCCACCATCACTACTACCCTCTACCACCATCACAACCTCTACCACCCTCTACCACCATCACATGAACTAACTACCAACCCTCTACCACCATCACACCGACTACTACCATCACTACCACTACTACCATCACTACCACCCACCACCACCATCACTATACCACCCTCTACCACCACACAACCCTACCACCCTCACATGCACTACCACCCTCTACCCCATCACAACCACTACTACCATCGACTGAACCACTACACCATCGCTACCACCCTCCACACATCACTAACCACCCTCTACCACCACCACTTCCGTATTTTTCCTACAAACTTTTATCTTGAATTCTATCGTGTTTCTCACATTCTTTACCAAAGGCTGCACAAGAAGCTTTCTTGGGGCCCAGTGGTTTCAACCCCTTCTGTGGTATGGTTTTTTTGCAATAGTGTCATTACATTTTGTGGTCCACTAAAAACATGGAATGAATAAAAATATATCGCATGTATGCGTGAATCATCCTCACTGGCTTGTAAATAATGGCACACGAGGCTGGCAAGGAGTATGGAGTTGCCCAGGGCCCACACAGCCATAGGACAACGGTTCAGGATGAAGCCTTAGCCATAGTATATTTATGCATTAGCCAGCAATATTTTTATGCCAAAGCGGAGCCATTAGTCAAATTTGCCATTAGCCGATGCAGCCTTTAGCCAAGGATCCACTGTACCTTCCTTAACTCTTTCACTGTTGAGATCCCTGCTCACAAACTTGCTCTCAGTGTTGAAGAATTTAAAAAAAAACTTTTTTCTTGTGAAATGATAAAGAATCCTTTCCTGATGGTAATGAAATCAAAAGTATGAAATTTGATGGAAAACTTATGAAATTACGCTCTCGCGAAGTTAGCGGTCTTGCCGATATTTATGCATCACAATTTCGTCCACTTTGAGCCCAATTTTCAGCCAATTCCATTGTTCCAGTCGACCAAACTCATAGCTATTTCACTGGAACACCTTTTGTTTATCAACTGAGTACAAGAAACTGCCCATTTACTGATTTCAACTACCCAATTCAAGGAAAGCCAATTTCAAAATAGGGTCCAAAATTGACAGTGTAAACATTCGTAGCACTAAAATAACTTTCTTGCCCTCCTGTTCTTGTAGTCCACGTCTCCATATTGCACTTAGTTTCCATTTTGAATTTTTTTCACACAAAAAATAGAATATTTACTGTTATGCAAACTACTGCATTATTGTAAAAATGGTATAAATAATATCAGCGCATGTGTGTTTAAAGCATATTAGATCCACTTCATTGATTGGGTTTTGGACGCGTGACGATGAATTTTGTTTACTCTTGAAATCAGAAAATTTGACATTTTCCGCTAATTTCCTCATTTGGTCAGGTACTTTTAGTTCTGTTAGAAAGCCATGTCAAGTGATCATCTTCCCTTTCTGTAGATATACTTTCCATTCTATTTTCAAATGAGAGCATGAAAATGAGAATACAGAAGTACGCCTAATTTACCGATATGGAAAATTCACTCGCAAAGTCGCTATTTTTAAACCAAAATCCTTACTGAACAAAAATATTGCCAACAACCTAAAACATATACCGCTTGTTAGCAGGATTTTTATTTACTGCACACACGATCACATCGTCAGACCCACTCTCTCATATATGAGGTCCTACCCGGGTATCATCTCCGCAAGATAGGAAGCCGCTAGAATTTTGGCACAGTATTACAGGACTGACCTCTGGCTTGCAAGCCTAATATTGACAGTACCAACAGTGAAAGGGTTAATTAAACGAAATGTGAATTTTAATAACAATAAAAATAAAAACTATTAGGTATGAGTTGCTGATAAAGTTTGGATAGTAGAAATTATAGCATTCATTATATAAGCCCCAATAATAGGAGGGAATGTCTAACAGATTGTTGAGTTGAAGAATAAATTTACACACAGCAACTGCTAGTTTAAGATGGTTTGAGATTGAGCAAAAATCTTGTGGATTTGTTAACAATATTTCTCAAATATCACTGTACACCCTTTTGTTCCTTTTGAGGGGGAAAATTCCACTTGTTTTTCTGGCAATTACATATTTTTACATCCTAGGTAGGAGGTTGGTAGAACAGCAACCACCCAGGGAGGTACTACCATCCTGTCCAAGTGAGTGTGAAATGCAATCCTGTAAGTGTTTTTACATGATGGAAGATTGCTGGGTGTCTTTTTGTCACATAAATATGCAAGATTACAGGTCAGTCTTGTCTACTTCGTACTTACACTTGAGGTCACACCTACCCATACATTGTATGTACAAGCATAAGTATAGAGCACCCCCTCTGGTTTTCTGCTCTTCTTCTTTCTAGTTCTTGTTCTTGTTTATTTCCTCTTATCTCCATGGGGAAGTGGAACAGAATTCTTCCTCTGCAAGCCATGCGTGTTGTAAGAGGCGACTAAAATGCTGGAAGCAGGGGGCTAGTAACCCCTTCTCCTGTATAGATTACTAAATTTAAAAAGAGAAACTTTTGTTTTTCTTTTTGGGCCACCCTGCCTTGGTGGGATACGGCCGGTTTGTTGAAAAAAAAAAAATATTTTTACATGTCATTTTGACTTTTTCACTTAATGTTATATTCAGGAGTAATTCCGTTAGTAGCTAAAATGGATTTGCTCGACTTTATATTATTATCTAGCCATATATTATTTAGCTTTGTACATAGGTAGGTTGTTTAATTAGTCTAACTGTTGGTGCGACCTGGCTAAGCACCAGTAGGCGTTTTGAGCTGCTCAACCCCTGCTCTGACTGAGTCAAAGTTGGCTGGTAAAGCCTTACCTTAATCAGTTCATACCTTCCTCTGGACCAGGAAGGGTCTAGGGAAATATCCAACTAAAAATCACCATTTACCTCCCTAGAAGCTACCAAGACTTTCGGAAACTCGTTGCAAGGGCTTATCTCGGTCAGAGAAGGCGGTTGAGAATCTCATAAAGAAAGTGAGAATAAGTGAGCAAGTCTCAGTGCTATAAGAGGAATTATTGGAGACTGAACTCTGTGGAATAGCTCTAACAGCATTGTGTTTGAGTTTTTAAAGAACTCCAGTACTTGTACATACCCATATTTCTCTGACTCTGAGTGCCTTTGTAAATACTTAGTTTATTACAGGTGATGTTGGATAATGAACATATGTTCAACACATAATGTAGATATGAGAAAGTTGTAAAGATATTAAATAATTTAAGTGGTTATTAAGAATTATTAATAAATTAACAAGGAACTGTGATAATGCCTTTTTTTCCTCTATTGAGTGTGTCCCCCTAACATGAATAATCCTGCTCAATTGTTACGAGAAGCACCATAACCGGAGACCATCAGGCCTATGATCGTAACATTCCCTTTACTTGGTATTAAGGTTACCATTTATAAATATACAAAAGAGCAATAAACATATACTAGTATTTTGGAGGAATAACAGAATTTTGAACATAGTACTATAACACAGTGAAATTACAGTTACATATTAATGTTTCATGGATATTAGTGGGTATAAACTGTGTCTTATTACATTCAGAAAATTCCAGGCTCTAAAATTTTTTTTTTTTTTTTTTTTCAAAATATTTGGAGTGCTAGCAGTGGAAACATAGATCTACAATTTGGACAGTGGTAAAGGTTAAAATAGTCTTGGACCCAAACCTTATCATATAATGGGGTTACATGTGTTGCCATTCTGTACTGGCTTTTGTATTATTTTCCTATTCAGTTTAATTTTCTGTGTTGTATGTAGTATTCACAATTTAACTATTTTCAAGTTGTTACTCTAAATGTCTAGTTGAACATCTTAAAATTTTATGAAATTCATCCTTAAATGAAACTTGATTTTGTTTAAAAATAATGTTATTTTATAATTTTGTTTCCTTGTCCAGAAAACAACAAGTCCTGCCAGCAGCAGTAGTATTCTCTGATGATCCTTTGATAAATAAAACTTATGTCTTGAGGTTCAACCCATCAAAGACTATTCCATCACCTTCCCAGTTGTGAGTATGATTAGAAATTATAAAATCTTAACTGTAACATTGCTTATATCTATAATCGACCTCCAATTAGTGAATGCTCACAGAACGAAATTTTCAACAGTGACTAAAGAAACTTGAAACTCCCTTTGCAAGGCAATAAACTGTTGTTTCGTGCTTGCACATCAGTCACATAACTAATGCTATACATTATTAAGTAAATGTGATTGTGTGTATACTCCTGTTACAAGTGAAAAGAATAGTCATTGACTTTTTTCACATTATAGGATAAAATATTATATTTTAAAGAAAAGACAATAAGGATAAATTACAGTGATCCCTCATTATCGTCCCTTAATCCGTTCTTGGAAGTGGTACTGTTACGAAATAGAATGAATTCCGGAATCAATTTTCCTTTCCCCATATGACAAAATGAAAACCACAATTAAATCTGTACCCTGACACCGCAGAAGTATTAAATACAAAAAAATTTTTTTACATGAACGTATAGATGTAGTACATAAATCAATACACTTGGACATGACTGAAAACATTAACAGCATACCACTTACCTTTACTGTGATTCCTTCTTAGTGTAGGAAGACTGTAGGAGGAAATCCCCACTAGCATTAGCACAGGAACATGATGCCAGCCCCCCTTGTTTTTTTTTTCTTTCAAAGGCTTGTGTGCGCTGGCAGTGCCTTTTCTTCCTGAGTAATGTAGTGCTTCATTGGCATTTCCTCCAAAAAGAGGCCTGTTTTGGTCCCAAATGAACACTTTTTCAAGTTTCAGAGTCCTTCAGCCCTGTGTACTCCTTTGAATTCATGCACATAATTTTTCAGCCCTTTTGGTCCGAACTGAGCCCACCAACCTTATCACACTTGTATGCCAGTATGCTTCTTTAATCTCTCAAACCAGCCTTTGCTTGCCTTAAATTTACTCACATCACCAATAGTTGCAGCAATTTCTTTACCCAAATCGTCATGCAACTGCCCTAGCCTTTTCACAAATAATCGACGTCATAAGACTTTCTCCTGCTAATTGTTTTCTCGTTTATCCACTCCATAATAACTTCTCAACATGTTCGAGTACTGGTGATCTCAATTTTGTCAGCAAATTTACCCATTTGAACAACAGCTTTTCTTGATTCCTTGTCTTGGCTATGATGGAAGATATGGTGTATGGATTGGTTATACATTCCAGGCCATTCGCCCACATGTAAGCCACTTTCATATTGTTCATTGATGTTTTCTTAAATTCATCGTATTTCTCACCTTCTTTACCATAGGCTTGGTACTAGGACTTTCCTTGGAGCCATGGTACTTCTTTACGGTATGCTAGCACTTAAAATAATAGAATATTATGAATATTTCACTGGAGCACGGTGAAAGGGAGCCGTTGCACCACCGTTAACACAATGGCACAACACTGCTGGGAAGGAGGATGAACGTGGCTCAGAGCAGTGGAGTACGCGTCCAGGGACGAAAGAACGATTAGCGAGTTTTACAGACCATTTGCGAGCCAGTATGATTATAATGAAAAAACGCTACTATTTCCGTAATGAATGACTTTCAGCGACGATTATAGAGGGACACTGTACAAGATATTATTTGGCATAATGACAAGCATTAACCCCTTCAGGTCCAAGGAGGGCCAAAATCTGAAGTTGTGCCCAGTGTCCAAGAATTTTTCCAAAAAAAATTTGTTATTTTATCTTATGAAAATGTGGAGAATCATTTATCGTGAAGCATTAAACAAAAAGTATGAAATTTGATGGAAAATTGACGAAATTATGCTCTCACGAATTTTGATGTGACAGCGATATTTACGAATCGTCGATTTTGCCGACTTCGACTACTTTCCCATTTTAGGCAATGACATCTTCCAGTTGACCAAATCTTAGCTATTTCACTAAATTACTTCTATTTTATCGATGAGGCGACAAGAAATCCGCGAGTCAACTGTTTCAACTACAAAATAAAGGGATCGTAAATTGGTAATTTTTTTTTTTGGCCAATTTAACACAAAGTTCAAAATATTCCAATTTCAAATAGCATCCAGAATAAACAATATAGGCATTCCTGGCACTAACTAACATTTCCTCTTTCATTAGTTATGTTTTGAGGCTTTACAAAATAATCCCATATTGATTTTTTATCACTTAAAGAATTTTTTATTCACCAACCAAAAAATAAAGATTTACTGTATGCAATAATTAATAATTGTATAAATATCTCACCCACTTTTTGTGAATGTATATTAGACCCACCAGCTGGCGTGTATTATACGTGTGAGGTCGTTTGTTTACTCTTGAACAACGGCAAAAATTTAAACTTTTCCGCGACTTTGAGCTCAGTTTCAAGCCATTTCCAGTGCATAAAACCAATCAAAATCATCTCTATTTCTGTAATAATTCTTCCATACTATCAAATTAACAAGAATGCAATACAACTATAAAAAACATACGAAAAACACTTGAAAAGTGCTGTTTTAATAAAAAATCTTGGTTTCAGTTTTTTTTCTCTCATTATACACAGTGTGCTGCAGGATTTGTTTTATGTGGTGCACACATACCACATAGATGTATTCTCTCATATCTAGGCCCAAGTCTACCACTCACAGTTTATCAGAGTGAGCTGAGCTCATGACGTAGATCTACGGTTTGGACCCTGAACGTAAAGCCGTAGATCTACGGGACGGATCCTGAAAGGGTTAATGGTACAAGTCCCAATTTCGGCCAACTCTTTTATTTTTCAACCAATTTTTTTTATTTTTGGTGTATATTTAGAGGTTCATATGTAGAAGAATGTGACAAAGTTTCAGTATGATTGGCCAACAAACAACAGAGAAAAAAATATTTAATGACTTTTCATATATGGCAGCAAGGTATGACAAAATGGCACTTCGAGTGGCACTTCTGACAATCCCAACCGTTAGAATACATCTGACACTAATTTGGGAGGCACATGTTTCATCTAATATATCTTATTATCATGGAAAAAAAAATACTTTTGATAGACTTTTTGGCATTCACCAAAATATCTGCCTTTTACCTCCCACAAAATAAAAAATATTTGATATATTCCAAAAAAAGAATCCTCACATTTTCAAACACACTTTGTTTTATATTGTCAGTGAAAATCATTTCAATACAATAATTAATAATGGTGTACATTAGCGAAATATGTGAAAAAGTTACTTCCGAGATATAGGCCTAGAACGCCAGCAGGCCTACCGTCTCAAAAAAAAAAAAAAATTTTGCGTGGAAATCGCATTTTTTTCGGTGTATTTCTTAGTAAACTGATGTTCTAGTGCAGTTATCCTCTTCAAAATACCATTTTCTATCACTCACATACCAAACAATAGAACAAGGAGACAAGGAGTAACACATTTATATCGAAATATTGCTGGTGGACTCTCGCTATATTATGGCCTATTTTATTCAGTCTAGAGTATATAACATGTTTGTTTGTTATTTATAGTGTTTATTATATCATATTAGATAAATTCTGATAGACAAATAAGCCGTATAGTTGATTTTATAAGCTGATATAAACGTAATAATGAAGTGATTTCACCTGGCACCATCTGGAGGGGGAGTACTGCCGAGTGTTCTCAGATGGCTCCCGATTGGCTGACACTCTACTGATAAGCTCCACCTACTCTTATATGATGCCAAATAATCAATTATTATATTAGAAAGAATAATGCAAAGAAAAAGCAATAAAAAACAAGGAAAAAATTCCAAAAAATACATGGGTTGAGAACAGACGCGCTACCTACATCGCCGTTACCATACCTGATATAAATGACTATAATTTCTTGTAGAAACGTCTTAGAACATTGATTCTTGTACCATTGTGTTGCCAAAGAGTTAAGCTATTTTTCGGTATATATAAATCAATTTCCAGAATTTTTTTATTTTTGGTTGAGCGCGCGCGGAAAATTTCCCTAGCGCTCCCTTAATGTTGGTAGAATTACTGACAATATGTAAAGTAAAAGAACACAAGTGCAATTAATGTGACATTTTATTGTGGCAACGTTTCACTCTCTAGGAGCTTGAAAAAGCTCCCGGAGAACGATACGTTGCCACAATAAATTGTCACATTAGTTGCACTTGTGTCCTTTCACTTTACATAATGACAATCATTTATTGGATTATGTATTAGTGGATAAAAGGTTTATGTGTAGACTTCTTTCTTTCTTTGTTGGGTTTATGAGGGCCACTGACAGCATATGCCGTATCGAGCCCGGTTTCTCAATGGGACAAGAAAAAATTGTTGCCCAAGGCTGGGCGATGAAAGAAAAGGAACAAAAGTTCTTTTGTAAATAGAGATAGAAACTTGAAGTTTCCAATTAGATCTGGTGGACCCCCTTGCCAAGCCCCAGCAGAGAGGGACACCCACACTCCCACCTGAGTTCAGTAACCGGCTTCCCACCAAAGACTGTCCCAGAGAGAACGGGAGAAATTTGTCACTGATACTCAGGCGAGAGAGAGAGAGAGAGACGTCCACACCCGACGAAGGCAGGCGCAGAAGTCATTGTGTGGACTTCTGGATGTGCATGTTTATAGAGGGGCAACAGAGATATCAGTTCATTGTTTTTAGTTGTAGCTACAGTGAGAGTAAAGCATAGATGGTGAACAAGGAGAATAGCATGAGCAGGTAAGAGAGAGAGGTGGGTTAGGATAAGATATAAGCAACTATTGATAGAAAGATGGGCTAGTGAGAGTGTAAAAAAATGAAGTTGAAGAAAGGGATGGGGTAGATTTAAGAATGCAGTGTTAGTGTTCAGAGGTTTGTGGATATAGGAGGGTGGGTGGGGGAGGGAAGAGGAGCAACTGGTGGAATAATGAGGTAAAGAGAGTGGTAAGAGAGAAAAAATTAGAATATGAGATGTTTTTGTAAAGCAGAAATGATATGAGGAGGGAGGAGTATATTGAAAGAAAAAGAGAGGATAAGAGAGTGGTAAGGGAATGTAAAAAGAGCAAATGAAAAAGGGGATGAGGAGCTGTCAATAAATTT